CTGTTAAAAGGGAGTTTTTCCTTCCCACTGTCGCCAAAGTGCTGCTCATAGGGGGTCATATGATTGTTGGGTTTTTCTCTGTATCTATGAAGCACCTTGAGGCGACTTTTGTTGTGATTTGGCGCTATATAAATAAAATTGAATTGAATTGAATTGAGTAATAATTCAACTGCCCTACCTGCCCAGACTCCCCAACGCTCTCCACCTAATCCTCCACCCTGCTCACCTCCTCAAACCTCTGCCAGCCTCCAGAGCATCATCTCCATCTACCCACAGAGTTCAGTCCTTTCACTCAGCGTACTCATTACCGCCTCTTAAAAGGAAACTGTTCCATCTGGGCTCTTAATAACAAGAACCAAGAACATCAGCAGCGGGAGCAGCTGTGGTACCTGTCCTCATTTTACCTTTGAAGTGGACTGCAGGGTTTCCTGTCATGTTGCACTTGAGACCAGAGGTGGAGAAGGAGAGAGGTGTGCATGAAACGTGAGAAATAATCACAGGGTTTCCTCGTCCATTTTGGCGTGCATGGACGGAGAGAGAAAGACTGAGTGTGTGGGTGGATGAGATGCAGAGAGAAGAAGAAGAGGAGGAGGAGGAGGAAGGATGGAGAGTGGCACACTCTCTCTCTCTCTCTCTAACACGGGGTTCCTCTACCCCAGGGACACCTTTTGTGTGACCACAGGAGCGAGGAAGAGGAGGAACAAAGGGCCGAGGAGGTGGTGGGACGAGAAGGATCGGGGGAGGAGGAGGCCACATGTTCTACACCCTTTCCTGCGAGGGAGGAGGAAAACATGCTATGTGTGATTGTATATGTGTGCTGGATGCACAAATGTATCATTAGGCATCATTAACCACAAATTATACAGAGAGACACAGATGCTGCTGTTGGCACATTTTTCTGCTCCCTGCAATCTGCAGGAAGGAAAAAGAGGGGGAGAAAGAGGGGAGGGAGGGGGAGTTAATCTAATACATGTGTAGTGTGATTAAAGGAAGAGCTTCCTCGCCGCTGACATTTCAGATGGATGTGAAGCCCGGCGAGAGGATATTAAACACACTTAAATATCTGAAAACAGAGGCAGTGAGGAGGGGGTGGGGTGGGGGGCAGAAAGAGTTAAAAGTCCAAATCTCCGAGCTCTCTCTCTCTCTCCTCCTACCTCTCTCGACCGCTCGGCTGCTCGCTCCTCTCTCACCACCTGTTAGTGCGGACCCCTCGTGCACTGACATCCACTTGTTTGTGCAGGAATCTCCTCCACTCACCATCAAAGGTACGAACATTTACTCTTTATTCTTAATGCTGCTGCGTGTCTCCTTCTTTTATTGGGGGGGGGGGATTATGCACTTCTGAGAAGCTTTTATTCCCGCTCCAGTCTCCGCCTCCTCCTCAGTATCCCTCCATCCTCTCGTCTCTCAACAAATTTCGGTGTTTCTGCAAGTGGTGCAAAGTGCATTTACTCTGATGCAGCGAGGTTTGCGTGACGCGCTGCGCTGTTTTATTGCACTTTAGTGCTTTAATTACAGTTTGGAGGCATTTAGTGGCCGTGGTTGATTTTTGAGTTTGAGAAAAAAATAAAACACTAACCACAGATGGTCTGTTTATTGATCGTGGAGCTAAAAATTGACATTTTCAATCAGATTTAAATGTTGTTATCAACTTATTTTGGTGATGTGTGATCTATGGAGGACTGAAAATGCAACAATATTATTAATATTGAGACAAAAAAATAAAAGAAGGAAATAATGTTGAAATATATGCGTATATAAGTCAGTTAATAAAGTGTGAAATCATTCATAGTTTGGCTTCCTCACAGAAATATTTACTGTCACAATGACCTCTCATTCAGTTTCCTCCGTGTAACTGTAAGCATGAATTTGTTTACTTATTTCTGTAATAATTTACATTATTTGTTAATAATGACTCGTACATTATTGATACGAGTACGGGACACGTGTGAAGAGGGAAACAATTTGGGAAATAAATATTTAAATGAATATATTTATAAATAAAATAAAATATTAAATGGGAGAACAAAAATATGAACAAAAAGC